CTGTTCTCCTGATATTTGGGACCAAACCGTCGCGTTTTCATATCATCCACAGAAAATGATCTTCCAGGAGGCGACGGCTCGGGGGGGCTGAGCGACCTGGACGTCCGCAGACAGATTCCCATTAAGCTGCTTTCAAAGCCGCCCTTAAGGAGCAAACCGCCGCCGCGCACGCAGAGACCCGGCGGCGGGCGTCCGTGTAAAGGCACCCCTGGAGAGGACGGTAAGGAGGAGCGGCTGCAGCTGGAAACATCTCCACATCCAATCCTCTGTGTTTTCATAGGATGTGTTGATATTTGGCTGCTAACTTTCAGGAAGGGTTGTTCACCTGTGCCGAGTCCAAAGGAGGGCGGGGCCTAATGGCCTGCAATTAAAACAACATTTTTTATTTTTTTAATTCCATTTTTTTCTGATTCCCCTGCTAGCTTGCGCTGCAGCAGGTTAGCCATGTGTTACCATGGTGACTAGCCTCGCTAAGCCTTAATCCTGCTTCAAGGAACTCTGGAAAACATCGTTTCAACATCTGGAAATTGGACGAACAGAAATGAAAATATATAAAATCAGTTAAAAACGGATTGAGAAATAAACCATGGAAAAAATAAAATCAGGAAAACAGCAATTAGTATAAAAACTAGTTTTTGATCTGCAATAAATTATTGGCAGAAAAATCATTTAATAATTAAATCATTGAGATAAAAATGATGCTAAATCTTTGGTTTAGATTTTCTTTTTAGTCCTGAATCTGTAAACTTAGTAGCTCATGTTCACTCTGATAAATGATAAACCAGCTTAAAGCTAAGCCTGTTAGTTTTACGCTGAAGCTAACAGGACGCTAAAGCTAACAGGCTTAGCTTTAAGCTAAAGCTAAACCCGTCTCTCTGTCCTGCGTCTGACAGTTTCTCTTCCTGCAGATAAATTTGGCTTCAAGCAGGAGGAGCGATTTGACTGTGGAACCAAAGCTGGAGACGTCTTTGGGAGTCAGAGGAGGTTTCCTCAGCCTCTCTTCTGGGATTACAAGGTAGCTAACCGCTGCTCTAGAATTACTCCTGTTTCTAAATGATTTCAGCTTAATTTCCCTGTTTTCCTTCCAACAGTTAAATTTGATCGGTGAGAGGGACAAACTTCCCATTCACTTCTGTGATAAATGTGGTCTCCCCATTCAGCTCTACGGACGGATGGTGAGCAGCAGAAACCGTTTTATTATATATTATAGAATAAATATCTTATTTTGTAACAATATAATTCATGTATTGATGTTAAACAATATGAAGCATCAGAGAAACTGCAGAGAAAATAAAACCGAATCCTCTGAAGATTTTTATGAAACTGATTCAAGTTTAATAATTGGCCTCTGAAAGACCAGGTTGACTGATCAACTGTAATGATTTGGTAGAAATGAAGCTGCTCAGGGTGATGAGGATGATGAGGATGGTAATGATGAGGATGATGATGGTGATGATGATGATGAGGATGAGGATGATGGTGATGATGATGATGAGGATGGTGATGATGATGAGGATGGTGATGATGGTGAGGATGATGGTGATGATGATGAGGATGATGGTGAGGATGAGGATGATGGTGATGATGAGGATGGTGATGAGGATGATGATGGTGATGATGATGATGAGGATGGTGATGATGGTGAGGATGATGGTGATGATGATGAGGATGATGGTGAGGATGAGGATGGTGATGATGATGATGAGGATGGTGATGATGATGAAGATGATGGTGAGGATGAGGATGGTGCTGAGGATGATGGTGAGGATGAGGATGGTGATGATGGTGATAATGAGGATGGTGAGGATGAGGATGGTGATGATGAATGAGGATGGTGATGGTGATGATGAAGATGATGGTGAGGATGAGGATGGTGCTGAGGATGATGGTGAGGATGAGGATGGTGATGATGGTGATAATGAGGATGGTGAGGATGAGGATGGGGATGATGAATGAG